TGGAAATTGTTATTGAATATGTTAATGCTGTAATGAAATGCTTCTAATCATGTGGTTATTAAATAATTTAAAAATATATATATTAATCAGAAGCAGTGAAGGACTTAAAAACATATTCACGTTTAGGAAGGCACTATAAAACAACAATCATGGGCCAGTGAAATGGCTCAGTGGTAAAGGTGCTTGCTGTGGTCCTCATGACCTGACTTCAATCCCTAGGACCTGTGTGGTGGAAGGAGAAAACTGGCTCCCACAGGTTGTCCTCTGACCACTGACAGGTATGCCCTCTCCCATATACATACAATAAGTCAGTGTTTGAAGAAAGAAAACAAGCAGCATGGCCAGTAACTATGGAGAAGGAAACACAATGACACGCCTCTATCCATATGGGGAGAAAGTCAAAACTGTCCTTCACGAATGCCAGCATACTTCCCAGTGGACTGAAATGTGGGTAGTCCTGGCTCGCCTGAAGCACACTGCATTTACAAGGCTGACCTTGAATTTGAGGTGCTCTTCTGCCTCTCCTCCCAAGTGCTAGGATTACAGGTGTGTGCCCCAGTGCCCTGGTGAAAGAATGTTTATAGCTGAATTGTTTGTAATAATTAAATATTAGAGACAGTCCAAATTGTCTTTGACAGGGGAAGGGATGATTTGTTGTCTAGAAATTGGAAACATTTAAATAGCAAAGTGAGTGAACTGCATTTATAGCATGCATCAATACAGATGAATCAGAAACACAGAGATGAGAGCCTCTATACAAAACTGCATTCTGATACAGCCAACTGAGGAAAACTGTCGAACGCCCCCCAAGCCCACCAGGCTTGGGTGTTCAACAAAAAGGACACTCAGGCATACGTCTGAAGTTATGCGAGGAATTTATTAAAGGGACAGCAGGTACAGAGAGGAGAGCGCTCTCTAGAAGGAAAAATCAGGAAGAATCTACTGAGGGGTCCCACAGGTCCTTTTTATCCAGCCCGGAGTTTGGGTTACCTAGGTGAATCTTCCCAACAGAAACAAAAGGGTTACTATAGAGACAGCAGGAAGGCCAACTGAAACTAACTTTCTAGAAGTCCTGATTTATCATCCAGGTACAGCCTGTCAGCTCTGACCGCTGAAGCAGAGAGCTCAGAAGCTCTTAAAGTGACACTCTCCTAATTTCAATGCTTATGGCAAGCATGGCTCCCGACAGAAAACTATGTGAGCAGTGTGTTGTTTAGCAGTGCACATATGGAATAAAAATGGCGAGAGAAAGGAACAAATACCAGTTGAGGGGTGCAGGCGGAGTCCTCAGATGTACTGGTACTGGAGAGGTGGTAGGTCCATGCTGTCTAGTACAGCAGCCACTGACCACACATGGCTGCTTAACCAAGTCTAGAGAAGTTTCAGTTGGGTTTCTCTGTCATGCTAGCCACATTTTAGTTCTTAATAGTTTTTGCTTTTGGCTGTTTGGACAGTATGTGTGGATAATTTGTCTCATGGCAGAAAGCTTTGTTGAACAAGTGCTGTTGTAGTTTATAAGTGAGTTGGTTTACCAGCGTTTATTAGTCCTCAAAATAATTACTGCATATGCCAATATATACACAGAAACTTTTGTTTGTATTATTTAGAAAATTTCTCAAATGTTTCTGATTTTCAAATGTTGCTAATTTGTGTGTGTGTGTGGTGTGTGTGTGTGTGTGTGTGCGCGGTGTGTGCTGTGTGTGTGGTGTGTGCGGTGTGTGTGTGGTGTGTGTGTGCGTGCGGTGTGTGTGTGTGGTGTGTGTGTGTGTGTGCGGTGTGTGGGGTGTGCGGTGTCTGTGCGGTGTGTGTGGTGTGTGTGTGCAGTGTGTGTGTGTAGGTGTGGTGTGTGTGTGTGTGTGTGTGGTGTGTGTACATACTAGGCAGCCATTCTACCACTGAGCTGTAACCTTCATCTGTGTCGTTCCCTTTTAAAAAAAAGTCACTTATTTTATGTGCGCGAGTGTTTTGCCTTCATGTATGTAAGTGTACCCATGTCATGCAATACCCACTGAAGTCAGAAGAGGGTGTCAGATCCCCTGGAACTGGAGTTACGGATGGTTGTTACCCGCCATGTGAGTGCTGGAACTGAACCTGGGTCCTCTGCAAGAGCAGCCAGTGCTCTTAACTGCTGAGCCATCTCTGTATCATTCTTTTAAATTTTTTTTAATTGCTATTTTTGGGTATGGTGGTTCAGCCTTTAGCACAGCACTCCGGAGGCAGAGGCAGGCAGATTCCTATGACTTCAAGGCCAGCCTGTTCTATAGAACGAGTTCCAGGCCAACCACAGCTAACATAGTGAGATCCTGTTTCAAAAGCTTTTACTTTTTAGTTTATTTATTGAGTGTGGGTGTGGGTGTATGTGCATGTGGTCAGAGGACAACTTAGAGGAGTTGATTCTCTGCTTCCACCCTATGGATTCTGGGAATCAAACTCAGGCCATCAGTCTTGGCAACAAGCACCTTTCCCTGCTGAGCATCCTGATGGCCCCTGTATTATTCATTTAAGTGGCTGAACCTTCCACTTATAGATATGAATATTCATCTGATGAATTCATCAGGTGAAGGACATTATGCTTTTTGCTGCTAGGAACAATTATATAGGACGTTTTCCTGCAGAAACTGCCTCCATTGTGCTCAGTATACACCTAGGAGTGAAATTGCTAGGTCTTTGGGTAACTGTTGAGCCTGTTTTCCAAAGTATCTGTGCCATCTCACCACTGGCAGTGCTATGTGCGAGTTGTGGCTTCTCCATGCCCTCTCCAACACTTCTGCCATCTCGTTTTGATGATGGTTCTATCTTGACTAACCTTTGACTTGGCCAACCTTTTTGGCCTTTTCCAGGATCATTTTGGCAATTTTAAGACTCTGCGATTTTTAAAGTTTTTAAATTTTTATTTTTTATGTATATGTGTGTATTGCATACATGTAGGTAAATGTACCTGTGTTGTGCAGTGCCCTCAGAGGTCAGAAGAGGCTGTCGGATCCCCTGGGACTGGAGTTACGGACAGCTATCAGCTGCCATGTGGGTACTGGGATTTGAACCTGGGTCTTCTGCAAGAACAGTCAGTGTTCTTAACCGCTGAGCCATCTCTCTAGCCCCTCAGATTTTTATTTTAAAAACTCAGCCGAGGGGGCTGGAGAGATGGCTCAGTGGTTAAGAGCACTGAGTGCTCTTGCAGAGGACCCGGGTTCGATTCCCGGCACCCACATGGCACCTAACAACCATCTAACTCCAGTTCCAGGGGAATATGACATCCTCTTCTGACCTCCTTGGGCATTGCACGAGACAGGTGCACTCAAATACATGCAGGCAATACACTCATACACATAAAATAAAAATAATAAATATTTAAAAAATAAACTCAGATGAAAACACAATAGGGATTGTGTTGAATCTTTTGGGAAATACTGTTGTTTTAGCAATATTCAGATCCAGGGGTTGGAGAGATGGCTCATCAGTTAAGAGCACTGCTATTCTTGCAGATGACTTAGGTTTGATTCTCAGCACCTACACAACCACTAACAGCCATCTGTAAATCCAGTTCCAGGGGATCTGATGTCCTCTTCTGACCTCCTCAGGCATTACACAACACAGGTACACTTACATGCAGGCAATGTACTCATACACATAAAATACTAAAAACAATATTCAGATCTGTAAGCACAAGCTATCTTCTCACTTACCACAGCTTTCCAGTGAATTGGTTTCAACAGTGTTAGTTTCAGCCTGTTTTATGCCTTGAGGAATTGATCTCTATGTACTTTATTGTCTTTCCAGATATTATAGACTTCCCCCTTTCATTTATTCCTCATCACAGGTCTAGGGAGTAGGTATTATTCTGTTTGCAGATAATATAAATTGAAAGAAGTCAAATAACTTTGTCTGTAGGGCCACTAAAATAGTGTGAGGAGGCAGCAGTGCCCCTGCAGCAAGTGCTTGCATGTAGTTCTCTTGCCTTAGAAGCCCCCCTGCAGGACTAGGAAGTGGGAGGGGAAAGTCAAGGTGCCTTGAGTGAAGGAGCATTCAGAGAAGAGAGTTAGGGCCAGCAGGCTGGCTCAGGAGGTAAAGGTGCCTGCTGTCAAGTCCCACGACCTGAGTTTGATTCCCAGAGCTCACATGGTAGAAGAGAACTGACTCCCACACCTTGTCCTCTGACCTCCACATGAGCATCCACACCCATACATGTACATAACATAAAAAAGTAATTGAAGGAATTTTTTTTAAATGAGAGAATTGGGGGTTGGAGAGATGAAAAGCACTGGCGGCTGTTACAGATGATCTGAGTTCAGCCCCCAGTACCCATATAGTGACTGATGACTGTTGGTAACCAAGTTCCGGGGGGCCTGACACCTCTTCTAGCCTCTGTGGGCTTTGCATGCGTATGGTGCACTTACATGCAGATAAAAGACTCATACACATTTAATAAATTAAATACATTTAAAAAATTTTTTAAAGAGAATTGGTCCTTGAATAGTGAAGGAGTCGCCCTGCACTGTGTTTACACTTCCAGGACTATGGAGCAGTTTGATTTAGTTCATGAAGCCCACGGCCTGTGGATGAGCTTCGGTGTCACTGCTTTACTTGATATCTGACTTAGCAGATTGCAAGGATTCTCTAAATTTATTTTCTTCTGTAAAACAACAGTCATAAGTCCTACTTACCCCTAGGTCCTTGGTTTAAAAGGTTGAACCACAAAGGCTTGGGCATGCATACCTTTATCTTAGCATTTAGGAGGATGAAGCAGGAAGATGAGTTTGAGGCTAACCTGAATTCAAAAGTGAGACTGTCTCAAATCAATAAATAAACAGCCAAATACTGCTGATATTTGTAATTGTCATGGACTTGTTCACGCTCCAGGGTCCGGCACAGCAGATGCTCAGTGGGGTGTTCCTGTCGTTGTCTGCTCATAACTTATTTTCATTCTCTGTTCATTTTCTTTTGCAGTACAAGTTCAGGGATCTTACCATAGAAGAACTGAAGAATGTAAATACATTTTTCCCACACTTCAGATACTCTGTGGACACCTATGGTAAGAACAACACCTCGTGCCCTTCCTGTATCATTTGGATTATTCATTTTGTGACCTTAAAGAACTTCAAACTCATAATTTTTCTTTTCTCTTTTATCTCAGGTTTTTAGCTACCTGTGACATAGTTTCTGAGGAAATTTAAGTTAATAAAATATAGTATATTTTCTGTTAGTATTCTTTTGCTGTTGTAACAAATTACCATAAAGGCAGTGTCTTACAAAAACACAAATGTGTTGTCTTACAATTTTGTAGACTAGAATTCCAACACAAGTTTTCATAGCTTACAAGTTTGAAGGGGCTAAAGTCAGGATGTCTTTGTGTTCCCTCCAGGGAGTTCTGGGGGAGCCCCCTTGCCTTTATGTGTATAGCGGCTGCGTGCAGTTCTCAGCTCTTTATATTCTTCAACTTCAAAGACAACAGCACTGTGTTTGTATTGTGTGATTCTGTGCTGTGCTGTGCTATGTTGTAACTGTTCTGTGTTCAATCCTCCATCTGACTACAGCTGGGAAAAATTCTCTGACTAGGTTAGTCCGACACTATCTGAATAGGCAAGCTCCTGGTTCTGCAAGAGTCTCTCTACGTCAGTAAATAAGGTGGAGAGCGATTGAGAGACCTGACATCAGCCTCTTGCTTCCAATTGCATGTGCACACATCTGCGCCCACATACATGTGACTGTGCATATGTACATGCATACACACAACATGCACACACCAGGGGAAAAACTTTATTTTATATCATAACTCTGTATACACACAACTAAAATACTATACTGATTCTGGCATTTTTCTACTCTATCCCATTTGAAATGCTGGGGGCAAACCCAGTGTGGTAATGCGTGCCTTTAATCCCTGGACTTCGTCCAGGGGATCCAACATCTCTGGTCTCTGCAAACATCTGCACTCATGTGCACACATACATAATTGAGGAGAAAATATTTTTTTAAAAAAACAAATGCTGGGGCTAGGAATGTAGTTCAGTGGTATACTGTTGGTCTAGCATGTGCAAGTTTCTGAATCCAACCCAAGTGTTCTCCCAACTGTGGCTACGGGGAAACCCTGTCTCAAATTGAAGAATGCTTTCAGCTCTTATAGAGGCCTGAGTTGGGATCCCAGCACCAACTGCCTCTGCTCCAGGGGGTCAGACACCTTCCAGTCACCTTGGGCTCTCCTACGCTTCTGGCATACACTCACACACATATATACATAAATAGAAATAACTTCAAAAAAAGCCACTCATGGTACATCTTTAATGTCAGCACTTGGGAGGCAGAGGCAAGCAGATCTGTGATTTCCAGACAAGACTGGTCTGCATAGCGAGTTCCAGGCCAGCCAGGACTACATAGTGAAACCCTGTCTTAAAGAGACAGAGAGAGAAGAAGAAAATAATTGCTCTTTCCAAATTATTTATAATTATACTTTTATATATTTTTATTTATAATTTCCAAATTACTGCTTAAAAAATACAGCAAACATTTTTTATGATTATAGAAGTGATTATAATTGTTTGTTAAATGTGGTAATTACTGATGTCCCCAAAATATGTAATATTTACTTCCATTTTATTTTATGTTTTATTTTATAGTTTTTTTGGTATTATCTATTTATTTTATGTGTATGATTATTTTGCCTGTATGTATGTAAGTACACCTGTGTGTGCCTGCTGAGGTCAGAAGAGGGTGTCAGATACTTTGGGAACGGAGTTGTGGATGGTTGTTAGCCTCCATGTGGGTGCTGGGAACCAAACTTGGGTCTTCTGCAGGAGCAGCCAGGGCTCTTAACTGCTGAGCCATTCTTCCAGCCCCTAGATTTTTGGTTTCTGAGACATGGTCTCACCATGTAGATCAGGTTGGCAAACCCTCCTCTGCCTCTACTTCCCAGGTTCTGGAATTATAGGCTTGAACTATGCACCTGGACGGTACTTGACTTTCAGTGAAGCTTTTCACATTTCATATGATCCTATGCAGCTTTGTGAGGCAGTTATCTTTGCTTTATGGATGATGAAGCAAAATTAAGAGTAAAATAGCTGAGTTATATGCCTTTAAAAATATTTTAATTGTTACTGCTGTTTTAAAGACAGTCTCAAGTAGCCTAGGCTTGCCTCAGGCTTGCTTATGTAACTTAAGGCTGGCCTTGAACTTCGGACCCTTTTCTGCTTCCCCTTCCTCGGTGCTGTGGTGCTGTGATTGAAGGCATGCAGCACCACTCCCAGTTTTATGTAGTGCTGGGGATTAGCCCAGAGCCTCATGCATGCTAGGCAAGCACCCCACCAACTGAGCTACACCCCAGCCTTTTGCATTTTTGAGATGGGATCACTATGTACCCCAGGCTGGCCTGATGCTCATGTAGCATGTACTGGTCTTGAAGTCAGGGCAGGCCTCCTGCCTTAGCCTCCCAAGTGCTGGGCCACCGTGCCTAGCAAGTCACACCCCTCTTAAGAGGGGAAGGTAGGCTTCACACTTGGGATTTCAGGGTTCAAGTTTTCTGTCCTTTCACCTTTTTTTCTTTTTTTTTTTTTTTTTTTTTTTTTTTTTTTGTCTTTTTGCGACAGGGTCACTCTGTAGCCTTCATTTGGCCTGGAACTCGCTATGTAGACCAGGCTGGCCTTGATCTCACAGAGATTGGCCTGCTTCCGCCTCCCAAGTACTGGGATTAAAGGCAATGCCACTATGCCCAGCTTTTCTTTTTCTAATTTTAAATTTTTAAAGAGAGTGTGAGTGTGTGTGTGTGTGTATGTGTGTGTGTGTGTGTGTGTCTACACATGCCACAGCGTGTGTGTGGAGGTCAGAGGATAACCTGTAGGAGTCAGTTCTCTCCTTCTACCATTTGAGTCCCAGGAATTGAGCTCAAGTCATCAGACTTAGTAGCAAGCACCTTTACCTATGACCCACCTCATTGACCCTCACTACTTTCTAAGTAAGTAGCATCAAGTGAATTCTCTCGTTGACATGTGTACTGAGATCTTGGTATTTAGACATTGTGAAGTATATGTGTGTGTGTATATGTGTGGACTTTTTCTTTCTACTTCTAATGAACATTTTGAAACTTTTTCTTCCTTCTAGTTTTTAAAGATAGTTCCCAGAAAGACCTGCTGAATTTTACTGGTACTATTCCTGTGATGTATCAGGGTAAGTATGGAAGTTGAGAAAATGTGGGAGTTTTCTAAAAGAGCAGCTCATTTAGTAAGAACTTATTTTCTTTTTTGTTGTTGTTGTTTTGGTCTTTTTGAGACAGGGTCTCCCTGTAGCCCCAGCTGTCCTGGAACTCACTATGTAGACCAGGCTGGCCTCGGACTCACAGAGATCCACCTGCCTCTGCCTCCTGAGTGCTGGGATTAAAGGCGTGCACCACCACACCCGGCTGAACTTATATTCTTTTTTAAAAAATAATTTATCTGGGAGTCCCTTGGGCTACCCTGGCCAACAACTCAAAAGAAGGTATCTCCTATCTGGCATTGTTGCTTGTTATGTAGCCTTTAGCTATACATACGGACTCTTAAAAAAATTATATTGGCCCCTTTAATCTTTGGTTACACTTTCCTTTTGGGTGTTAAGGCCGTACAGTTGGCTTGAAGAGAAGGCAAAGGTCCTGCTTGACCATGGCTGGCTTTGCATGGAAGCATGGAAGAAATATTTCCTCTGTTTTGACCCTCCTCTTTGTAGACTGGACACTAGTTCAAGTCCATCTCACGTGGTCTCCACGACAGGTGATTCACCACAGGTACAGAACATTTTGAGAGATGCTCATAGTCCCCTGGAACTAGTCAACCTTTGACAGAGTATAAGGGCTGTAGTGGTGTGGGGGAGGCTATGGGAGGGTGCCATGTGGGATGTGTGTGTATAGATGAATAAGATGGTTTGGGAGGTTCTGTGAGATACACACAGAAAAATCAACAAATTAAGAAAATGGGTTGTATTTGAGGAGGAAGCATAAAAATTCACTTCATGTTAATTAGTAGAGGTGATAAACATTGCCATTGAAATCTACCCAATGACTTTATAGACATATACAGGCACCAAGGATCCAAGTTCAATCCATTATGACTAGTAATAGATACATACAGATTAGAGATGCATGCTCCAACATCTCAGTGTTAGTAGCAAAAATGATGAGTCTTTCTATAAGAAACAGTATTTGGGGGGGGGGTTGGTTTTGTTTTGTTTTGTTTTGAGACAGGGTCTCCTTGTAGCCCCAGCTGTTCTGGAACTCACTATGTAGACCAGGCTGGCCTCAAACTCACAAAGATCTGCCTGCCTCTGCCTCCCAAGTGCTGGGATTAAAGGCGTGAGCCACCACACCTAGCCCAAAATAGTATATTTTAAAATGAAAAGGAGATCCTTTTTTTTTAAAGGTTAAAAAATCATTCAACTTTATGTCTTACAGGGTTTATACTGAGTTCAATATTGTATCACTGTATTAATTCAACAGTGAACCTAAAAATTTTATAGCCATCCATTTTAACTTTTTATAACAGATTCATGTTTCTTTTTAATATTTTATTTTATGTGTATGAGCATATTGCCTGCATGTATGTGAATGTACCCGTGTCGTGCAATGCCACGGAGATCAGAAGAGGGCTTTGGATTCCCCTGGAACTGGCGTTAAGGATGGTTCGTAGACGCCATGTGGGTGCTGGGAATCAAACCTGGGTCCTCTACAAGAGCAGTCAGTGCTCTTAACTGCTGAGCCGTCTCTCCAGCCCCGAGCTTATACATTTTAATCAGTGCTTACTAGATATTAAGATATCCTACAAAGCTAGGGTTCAAATCCCAAACTTCCCATGTGCTAGGCAAACACTCTACCACTGTGCTACAAACCACACCCCAGTCCAAGAAAGGGTTATCGTAATGCTATCAGTACCATGCCCTTCATTGATACTCTGCCTGTCATACACCATACGCCATTGAGTCTCCTGCTAAGTCTTCTCCAAAATAATAATGTGATTTGTAATACTTTTGTTTTTCAGTATTAGAAATAAAACCCAGAGTCTTATACATTTCATGACCAGTTATTGAAAAACCCTGGCCCAGAACATATCACTATTAGCCAGGAGGAATACGATGATGTGCCTTGGTGCTTTCTGATCTATTATTATATAATTTTATAATCATAGTTTTCTGTGGGCCAACAGAGCGAGGTATGCTCATGCTCAAATAGTAAAACTTAGGGAAAACCAGAGGGGAATGGTTCTAAGAAAGGACAATATAAATCAGTAGGTTCCTGGTATCAGAAACATTTCTGTAGCATGCTGATTTCAGTCCTAGTTGAATATTACCAGGGAAGCTTTAAAAAACTGTCTAGACTTATTGCCGTCAATCAGAAGCATCAGGGTGTAGCCAAAGTACCTTACATGTTTGTAGTGTGTAGACATGGCTAAGTATTGTTTTGCTCATTGGGGAGGAAGCAAAGTGGAAAAAAGAAAGCTCTCCGTGGAGAGTTTCCTCAGGGAGAAAAAGATTGCCGTGAAAAAGAGAATTGTTGTTTACATCTAACTTGTTTCCAAATGGGTTTAAAAGTCCAACTCATAGTATTTACCATGCTGTGTGCTGTCGTAAGCATTTTATACACATTATTTTCTTCACAACAATGCTATGAAATAGGAACTATTATTCTCATTTTATAGAGAAAGAAACTGAGGCAGAGACAAGTAACTTGCCTAAAGTCATACAGCTAGTAAGGTGTAGAGCTAGGCATCCTTGTCCTGAGCAACATATTCTTAAAACGAGCAAAAGGCATATACACTGTGGGCTGGAGAAATGGCTTAGTGGTCAAGGGCTTTCTGCCCTTGGCCTAAGTTCAGTTCCCGCACCCACGCCAGGCACCTCACAGTCTACCTGTAACTCCATCTCCAGGGATGGACGCCTCTGGTCTCCATGGGCACTGCACTTGTGCACAAACCCACATGGATACACACGTGTAATTTAAAAATCTTTTTAAGACAAATACGGAACTAGAGATATGGCTTGACTGTTAAGAGCATTGATGTGCTTGCAGAGGACCCAGGCTCAGTTCCCAGCATCCATATGGCAGCTAACAACCATCTGTAACTCCAGATACAGGGGATCCGACACCCTTGTCTGGCCTCCTCAGGCATTGTATGACATGGGTACAGGCAAAACACTCATAGATATGAAATAAAAATAAAGTTTAAAAAAGATAAACATAATTAGACCATGAGAACAGGAGTAAGTATTAATGATAGGGTGTTTAAGGTCATTTTTTGATTTTTAGTCAAAGTTCAGTTTTCGATTAAATTGGATTTAGGTGTGGGCTTCCTGGCAACCAAGGCAGAGATTTTGATTCTTGGTAGGTATGACCTACATAGTTAAAATTGGAAGAGCAGGGCTGGAGAGATAACTCAGTGGTTACAAGCACTGACTGCTCTTGCAGAGGTCCAAGGTTCAGTTCCTAGCACCCACGTGACGGTTAACAATCGTCATTCCAGTTCCAGGGGATCTGACACCTTTTTGACCTCCTTAGGCATTGCACACACAGGTGCACTTACATACAGACAGAATGCTCATGCACATAAAATAAATTTTTACAATATTTTATATGTATGAGTGTATTGCCTGCATGTGTGTAAGTGCGCCTGTGTCATGCAGTGCCTGCAGAGGTCAGAAGAAGGCATCAGATTACCCTGGAACTGGAATAACCAACGATTGTTAGCTTCCATATGGGTGATGGGAATCAAACCGGGGTCCTTTGCAAGAGCAGCCAGTGCTCTTAACCACTGAGCCATCTGTCCAGCCCCTAAATAAAATAATTTTGTAAAATGGAAGAAGATAGAGTCAGGTTCCTAGCTCACCCTTCTCAAGTAATTTATTTTATTGTAGCGCTGATGATTGAACCCAGGGCCTCACACATCTTAGGCAAGTGATCTACCCCTAGGCTAGACCCATTAAGTCATTCTTTGACCTGTTGTAGTAAGGCTGCTTCCTTTTCTGAAAAGAATACTGAAGTGCTTCTCAAAGATGGTGTTTCCACACCATGTGCATCACAGTCTTCTGGCGTGTCTATGTGGGTAGGTGTTGGCAGTTGGGATGACCTGTCTTTGAATGAGTAGAACCTGAGACCTGAGATCAAACCATAACCTCTGCTTATGGGTGAAACCCTAAACACAGAGTCTCAGGACCCTGACCTGTGGAGCTGCTGCATGATTAGTAGAGGAAGTTGGCCAGATCAAAAAGGCTGTGTTCCTGGTTCTAAGAAAGGCATCTTAACTTTCGTGTCCTGAGAGATTAAACATCTCGATCAATACATCACCAGACAATAGTCCTGAGTAAGGTATAAACATCCTGCTATTTCATTGCCTTAGCTTGCACCAGCTAAAACTTACCATTCCTGTTATAAATCTAAAAATGTTCTGATGCTTTGTATGGAACTGCAAGAGCCATATGTAACTGCTAGTTTCTCTTCAGTATAAAAACCTGTTAGGCTCTTAATAAAGTGGACTTGTTTGTTACTAGACCCGCCAGCCCCCAGAGTCGTCACTCTGAGCTCCCATCTACCGTCACAGGGTGGGGTCCCCCACAGGGTGGCCTCTGCAGATGGGTGTGAGACAGTTCATGTGGGGGGGTTGGCCCTATCCTACGTCCCACTAAAGCATCCCACTAAAGCTCAGGCTTGACAGCTCAGCCCCAGGCACCTGCATGTTTGTCAGGTTCTTCGTCATTCTGACGTACACTAAGATTTAAGGGTCCCTAGAAAAGGGGCCTTGTTCTCACTTCTAGTTCTGTCTGACTCACCTGTGTGTTTATAGTCTAATCAGTAAGCTCCTTGGGGCAGATATCAAAACTGCACTTGATTCATTCGTTCCCTTTTCATTTGCTTGTTTATTTTTTCTTATATGAGAGATTTATTCAGCAGCCAGCATGGCAGGCAGTGTACTTGGTGCTGGGGATATATAAATAACTGAGGGAGGGAGCTGGAGAGATGGCTCAGCATTAAGAGCACTGGCTGCTCTTGCAGAGGACACACATGGCAGCTAACAACCATCCTTAACTCCAGTTCCAGGGGATCCACACCTTCTGACCTCCACGGGTATTACATGACACAGGTACACTTAACACACATGCAGGCAATACACTCATATATATAAAAATAATAAATAGAATATTTAAAAATAGATGAGAAATAATCCTCAGTAGAAATTTACCATGCAGTAGATAAGTAAGCTGGGGAAGTACTTTCAACATGGAATAAATGTAAACAGGAAGGAAGGCACAGTATCTCCGTCCAGGTTGAGCAAAGAAAATGGATAGAAAAGATGCTGTGTCCCACACTTCTGGTACAGGTGAACTTTTTTTGGACTGATCTGGATAAGCTGACTACTGTCTTAGTTTTTCAATATGTTATGCTGGTGCCGTGATAAGAACCTAGTTCCAATGTCAAGTAAGTATGAAAAACAGGCCTTGATTTACATTAATCCTTCATATGTGACCTTAGCCACTCACTTTTTCTTCTTTTATTGCAGTACTTGGGATTAGATCTAGGGCCTCACATATATGCAAATGATTTACTATTGTGCTACATCTCAAGCCCTTTTTTATTTTGAGACAGGGTAATCATTTTTTAAAAGATTTTATTTTATTTTAATTATGTGCATATTGGTATGTGCATGTGAGTGCCATGCCCTCAGAGGCCAGAAATGACAATTGTGAGGGGCCTGACAAGGAACTGAACTCAGTTCCTCTGGAAGAACAATATGCACTCTTAATCACTGAGCCATTTCTCCAGCCCTGAGGCAAGTCTTGTTGTTGTCCAGACTGGCCTCAAACCTGTGATCCTTCTACCTTAGCCTCCTTGGTCAGAAGAGTTATAGGATTGTACCACCATGCCCAGCTACCTGGTTCTTAAAGTGCTATCTAGTTGTCTCATAAATATCAGGTATATACTTCCTGATTGTGAAATGTGCTTATTTTCTCTCATATAGGTAACACATACAACATACCAATCCGTTTCTGGATTTTGGATTCCCACCCTTTTGCTCCCCCCATTTGCTTCTTGAAGCCAACTGCAAATATGGAAATCTCAGTTGGAAAACATGTGGATGCCAAAGGCAGAATATACTTGCCCTATCTCCAAAACTGGAGCCATGTAAGGTTGACTTGGATTTTCTTTAATTTTTTGTTTTCTGAATATTAGCTTTTGATCTTGATAGTACAGGTACATACGTTGGATTATCTTTTGGCTGTATTCATCATACAGCCTTGAATAGTAATTTGAAATTAGCTTTTATGTGCTTGCTGGGGCTTCATTCGCGGGTCCCCATGCTTGCAATCAGGCACTTTACCCACTGGACCATCCCCCAACCAATCTTCCTTTTGAATTACCTATGCTCTTAGCCATTACCATTCTCTCGTTTTTATCTATGTAACTGCACCACATGTGTGCCTGGTGCCTGTGGAGGCCAGAAGAGGGCATCGGACCCCCTGAAACTGGAGTTACGGATGGTTTTTAGCTGCCATGTGGGTGCTGGGAACCAAATTCAGCCATCTGCAAGAGCAGCTCTTAACTGCTGAGCTACCTCAGCCCCTATTCTGCTTTTTTAAAATTACCTTCAGACTATAATTTGACATCTGTGTCCTGTTGTGGGAATCTCTGTGTTCTGTTTCTTCTCTTTGGTTTTCTTTGTCATCTCTCTTCATAGTTTTGTTTGCAATGCTCAGTGGTAACGCCATATTTAGTTAAGGTTGTACAGTATTTAGACAGCATTGATTTCTTTTTACTATTATGAGCCTGTTTATTATAAGCTAAACTTGTCTTTAAAAGATGTTATTTAAATTGACCTCTTTAAAAATACTGTAGTACCATAGTTCCACTTATGGTTGGCATTACAGTCATGTAATATAATTGCATGGAAGTTTGGCCATAGAAAGAATCTGGAGGTCATCTAGGCAGGGGATGGTAGACTGCTTTTGGAAGGCCCGTGTTTGAAGAGAGCATAGTACTTTCTTCTGATTATGGTGTTGAATGCATACAAACGTGCTCAGAGTGCTCTTTTCATACTTGTTTTGTTTGTTGAGATAGGTTCTCACTGTGTAGCTTTGGCTTGCTAGGACACACAGAGATCTGCCTCTGCCTCAGAGAATGATGGGATTAACGACATATGCCACCACACCTTACTCTAGATTTTCCTTCTTTCATTTTTTCTTTTTACCTATTATTTTTATTTTATGTGTATGAGTGTTTTGCCTGCAGGTATGTAAGTGTACTGTGTGTGCAGTGCCCCACAGAGGCCAGAAGAGGATTCCCTAGAACTGGAGTTGCAGGCAGTTATTAGCTGCCATATGGGTGCTGGGATTCGAACCAAGGTCCTCTGGAAGAGTAAGAAGTGTTCTTAACCACTAAGCCATCTCTCTAATCCCCAATTTTCTTTCTTTTACATTTATTTTTTGTGAATATGAGTGTTTTGCCTGCATGGATGTAAGTATAGTACATTCATGTAATGCCCATAGATGCCAGAATAGGGCATTGGATTGCCCGAGTGGTTGTTAGCCACCATGTGGGTGCTGGGAACCAAACCCAGGTCCTCCAGAAGAGCAGTAAGGATTCTTAACCACTGAACTATCTCTCCAGCCCCTCTCTAGTTTTTCCTCTTTAAAAAATTGTATGCATGTACTGCCTGCATGTATGTAAGAGTACCTGAGTCGTGCAATGGCCATGGAAGACAGAAGAGGCCATTGGATCCCCTGGAACTGGAGTCACAGACAGTTGTTAATTGTCATGTGGGTGCTGGGATTCGAACCTGGGCCTTCTGTAAGAACAGCCAATGTTCTTAACCACTGAGCCATCTCTCCAGTCCCTAGATTTTCTTATATTTGGCAGTTTCACACTTGTTTGTGTGAATTTCACCTAGGATGTTAGCAAGTTAAAAGAAGACAATACCAGATTGGTTATATTTCTGATTTCATAATGGCTGTGCAAAAGAATATTTAAAAATTTTTTTTAATCTCCCTTTTTCTGTTTTTAGATTATTATGTGTATGAGTGTTTGCCTGCATGTATGTATGTGTACCACATGCATAGCTGATGCCCTTAGAGGCCAGAAGATGGTCTCAGATGCTCTGGAACTGGAGTTACAGGTGATTGTGGGCTGCTCTGTGGGTGCTAGGAACCCAGCCTGGGTCCTCTGCAAGAGCAGCCAGTGCCATTCACTGCTAAGCTCCCCCCCTTGTTTCTTTCATAAGGAAAAGGTCTCAGGGATAAGGGGGTTCTGTCTACATTTTATCTTTACCCTTTGTTTTAGGAAAAAGACTTAAGAAAGCATATGGGATAAATGGTGCTATCTGACTCATCTTGGTCTGTGTTTTTTTTTTTGTTCTTTAATATTTTGTTTATTTTTTTATTTTATGTGTATGAGCATATTGCCTGCATGTATGTGAGTGCACCCGTGTCATGCATCACCTCGGAGGTCAGAAGAGGGCTTCGGATTCCCCTGGAACTGGAGTTAAGGATGGCTCATAGCCACCATGTGGGTGTTGGGAATTGAACCTGGGTCCTCTGCAAAAGCAGTCAGTGCTCTTAACCACTGAGCCATCTCTCCAGTCCCAGTCTGGTTTTTTTTTTTTTGCAACTTTTCTATCCATCTGAAATGATTTCAAAATAAAAGTGTGTTTTTAGCAGGGCGTGGTGGCGTATGCCTTTAATCCCAGCACTCGGGAGGTAGAGGCAGGCAGATCTTGGTGAGTTCAAGGCCAGCCTGGTCTACATAGTGAGTTCCAGGACAGCTGGGGCTACAGGGAGACCCTGTCTCAAAAAAAAAAAAAAAAAAAAAAAATGTTTTTTTTCTAAAGTTTTCAAACCCCTGTATTCTGCTACTAAGTGAATTCATCCTGTTTTTCCTATATTTGGAAGATGTTGACTTAACATTCTCTTTCCTTGTGTTGTATGTATTCCAAGCATGTGGAACCTTTTCCATGAAGGCTCTAGGGAGGTTACTCTATGATAAAATTTTATTTTAATTTTCAGTTAAAAGTGTTAAAATAGTTAAGAATATTATGTAATTTATATGGTGGTTTGGAAAACTGAGAAAATAATTGAATATAGTTGGCTTTTGAACAACATAGGTTTGAAGAAGTTAGGTGTGTCATAAATGTATAGAATAACAATAATGAACTTAGTCATTTGCTGTCATAAAACATATATGAATCTGGGGCTGAAGAGATGGCTCAGTGGTTAAGAGCACTGACTGCTTTTGCAGAGGACCCGGGTTCGAGTCCCAGCACCAACATGGTGTCTCTGAACTGTCCTTAACTCCAGTTCCAGGGGATCTGATAGCCTCTTCTGTCCTCCGTTGGCACTGCACGACAAAGGTGCGCTTACCTACCTGCAGGCAGTACACACATACACATAAAATAAAAATAAAATATTAAAGAAAAAAAAGGAATGCAGTTTCTCATTTGCTATGGAAATGACCATTAAAAAAAAAAAAGTTCCCACTAGGTTTTCTATGAGCTACTTTACCAGCGATCAACTTACTGGGAACATTTTTTTAAAGCTGAAATCTATCAAACCTGGAAAGCCAGAGGTGGTAGTGAGTATCTGTTATTTTAGTACTAAAGAGACCGAATAGCAGAATCACAAGTTTGAAGCCAGCCTGAGCTATACAGCATATTCTAGGACAGCCTGGGCTACAAAGCAAGACCCTGTCTCTAAAAACAAATGCAGTAAGTCCAAAATACTAAAAGAAAACAAAACAAACAAAAAACCCTGACAAACAACAAAAAAATAAAAAGCTCACACACACACACACACACACACACACACACACACAAATACAAATGTACTCTGACAAAGACCATACAAGGGACATTGCATTTAGCAACACTGTAAGCAAACATAGACTACTAAAACTGCACAAAGTGAACTGTAGTGCATTTTACTGCTGTATGACTACTGTAAGGACTGTAGTGTGTACTGGCCTAGCAAGTACAAGGCTGTGAGTTCAGTTCCCAGCACTGGTGGGCATAAAATGAAAATAGATAAGTGCTGTAGTGAAGAAGAGGCTGTTGTTTACTTAGATTTTGAACTGTACATAAGTTGAACCCTCCGCGCCCCCCCAACTGTTGGATTGTTCAAGGATCACCTTGGCTAACTGTGACACTGGGAAACAGTAGTGTTCTTAGTGAAAGTTCTGTGTAACTTCCTTTTGCATGTATTATACAGCCTAAATCTGCCATTGTTGGATTAATTAAAGAAATGATTGCCAAGTTTCAAGAGGAACTTCCCCTGTATTCTACAGCATCGTCTGGTGAAGCTCGGCAGGCAGACTTGCTAGCCTACATTGCAAAAATCACCAAAGGTTTGTATTGTCAGTCAGACTCCTTTGAGACTTAAGAGTTTAGGATTTCTCAGTAACATTCTGTACTCTCTGCTATGTGACTTCAGTAAATGAGTATATGCGTGTGTATATACATTTCTGTGCTTATAAAAATTCTTCTACATAGGCCGGACGTTGTAGTGCACATCTTTAATCCCAGCTCCTGGGAGGCAGAGGCAGTCAGATCTCTGTGCGCTCAAGGCTAGCCTAGTCTGTATAAGTGAGTTTCAGACCAGTTAAGGCTACATAATGAGGTCTTGTCTCAAAAACAAACAAAAACAGTGAAACAAACAAAAAATATTAACTGCTTAGAAATCCTTGGAGCAGTGAGACCCATGAGCCCTTCCCTTCCATGACAGAGTATTGCTGGCCAGTCTTGTGCGAATAATCACAACTTCTGTGAGTTAGAAGTGCAGAGTTAGTCATGCCCAAAACTCCGTCTCCATACCACAACCGTCTCTTCTGGCTTTTACATTCATCTAGTTCCTCCTTCCACATGCTACCTGAGTGTACCGTTTTGTGGGTCTCTCCCTCCCCTCATGGGCCGTTGGTCACGACCCATGAGAACAAAGGGAGCAGAGGCGACGAACGGGGTCAGGACGGCCAGTGAGCACAATGGAAAAGAACTTCTGGGAGTCAGCTTCAGTGATACAGCTCATTTATTCAGTGGGGTCAGGGAAAAATATAGGGTGGAGATGGTAGCCAAAGCTTCAGCTGATAGGTGATCATACTATGCTTTATTTACATGTGGTAGCGGGATCCTATCATCTGGCTATGGGGCAATGCCTAATTATCATATAGAAAAAACCTGGGGACAGTTTTATTGCAGGTAACTATGCCAAAGGTCATGTTCCAGATAAGGTCAGGCATCCATGCTTGGAGGCACTTTCCAGATAAGGTCAGGCAGAGAGCAGGAAGCCCCCACTGAGAAAGGGAGTCCTCCATATAGTGCTGAGCTCCTTAGAGCTATCCGGATGGTGGAGTGCAACCTTAGCAGCGGGGTCCCCCAACACCTTTTTTTGTTTTCGTTAATTTTTTGTGTGTGTATATATGTATGGGTGCATGTGTACCACGGTTTGCAGATGGTTAGGACATTTTGCAGGAGTCTGTTCTCTTCTACCCTGTGGACCCTGCAAACAGGCTTGACAGCAGGCACTTTTCCCACTGAGCCATTTGTCTGGCCCAGCCTTACTTTTTGAGACAGTGTCTCTCCTTGAACCTGGAGCTCACTGGTGTCAGCTAGGTTGGCTGGCCAGTGAGTTCCAGAGATGCACCTGTCTCCACTCCTTTATCACCTAGCACTCTGCGGCTCCTGACTTCTGTTGGGTACTGGGGACCCAAACTCAGGTCCTCAGTCTAAGACTCCTCTTTTTCTTTTTCTTTTTGGGGTGGTGGTGGTGGTTAAGGGTTGTTATTGTGAGATAGGGTCTCCTGTAGCTCAGGCTGGCCTTAAACTCATTATGTAGTTGAGGATGACCATGACCTTCCTGCCTTCACCCCCTAATCGCTGGGATTGCAGGTGTGCACCACAATGCCCAGATTTTTTTGCTGGTTTTCTTTAGAGTAGGTGTTGCTGTGTAACCCAGTTTCTGCCTTAGCTTCTAGATTACGAGGATCTCACTGGAGTGAGCCACCACGCCTGGCTTAATTACAACTCCTGCCTTCTTGTCTTTGTTTAGCAAGTTGTTGTTTTAACTGCCTATTGTAGAATTGAATCATATTTTCTATACAAATTTTTTTAATGCCTCTGAGTTTTTGAAATTCGGTATTTTTACAAAAACGCTAGAAATTTGTTTTTGTTTTTGTTTTTGTGGGGGAAGAGGGCACAGGACAGGGTCATACTGCATGGCCCAGATTAGCCTTGAGCTTACATCATGCCTCAGCCTCACAAGTGCTGGGATTGTGGCATGGGCCACCTTACTAAGTCTAAAAGATGCTAAGAAGACTTTTTATATTACTTTTAAATTCTCAGGACAACCTACTTTTTTTTCATAGGTGTTTCAGACATAAATTCAAAGGGCTGGGCAAATCATGAGACTAAAACACCCAATAAAATTACTGTGGTTGGAAGTGGAGAGTTGGGTATTGCCTGCACATTAGCAATTGCAGCAAAGGTATGTAAACATAGTGTCTATAAATAATATCTGTACTTTTATTTGTTTTGTTGTTGTTGTTTTGGTTTTAGTTGTTTGGGGTTTTTTGTTTTGTTTTGTTTTCTTTTTTTTTTTTTGAGACAGGGTCTTCCTGTAGTCCCAGCTGGCTGGAACTCACAGAGATCCGCCTGCCTGGGCCTCCCAAGTGCTGGGATTAAAGGTGTCCACCACCATGCCCAGCATATCTGTACTTTTAAACTGTTTTCTCCTCCTCCTCCTTCACCTCCTCCTTTTTCCATTTTCCTTGTATGCAAGCGTGCGTGAGCTTGTACACACACTTGCTTATACACACATTTGTGTATGTGGATCCAAACCTGTGTTTTAGATCCTTACCACTCAAAGTAAGAGTTGGGTTCTTGCCATGTAGCCCAGCCTGGCCTTACATTCCTCCTTCCTTATCCTCCTGAGGGCTGGGATTACAGGCATGTATGACACCTGGCTTCAAAGCATGGCTTTTAGATCAGCACCACTGGCATCCCCTAAGATTGTGTTAAGAATGCATAATCCTAGGTTTAAATCTTCATTTTAGTAGAGCTCTGGTGATTCATTGTGCCTCACTGATGTTCTGTGATGATCCATTAAAGCTTGGATAGCTCAGGCTATGGGTGGTGGCACATGCCTTTTAATTCCAGCACTTGGGAGGCAGAGGCAGGCAGATCTTTGTGAGTTCGAGGCTAGCCTGGTCTACATAGTGAGTTCCGGGCCAGCTGGGGCTACAGGGAAACCCTGTCTCAAAAAAAAAATACACACTTGGATAGCTGTTCTCCAGGCTCTGTGTTGTGCTGCTTCATGATTATTATTGTTCATGATGAGGGTTGGATTGTTTCTCATCTCGAATATCCTTATACATATTATACTTTTTTTACAGGTACTAATATATAGGATAATTTCTGTAAATAAGGATTAATGGATTAAATTATTAATTTTTGTTTCTAAAATGCTTTGAAATTGTCTCCTATGCCAGTTGCAGCAGTTTATTCTCATACCTACAACATGTGAGGATACCTGCTTCCCATAACTAATGTTGTTAAACTTTGGCTCTTTGTGTACTAAATGAAAATGGGAATTCATGCTTTTCTTTGTATTTCTGTTGTATGGTTCACAATAAAATTAATAGCTGTGAGTTAGGAAAGACCCCTATATGCTGGCCTGTGCTGTATATTTATTCTCATAACCACTAATAAAAAGGCTGAGTTCAGTGGCTTGCCAGTGCCCATAGCGAACAGATAGAGTAGTTTTCTTAGTCAGTATGTGTTTCTGCTGGTGGTCCGGAAGGTCCCTGGTATGTTTTGTCCCTGTCCCTACGGGCTCCCATTGCCTTCTACAGATTCTTAGGAGTTTCCACGCTGTTATTTATGGTCAACTCACCATACTGCCCAGGAGCCATTCACAGGCATGTGGAGCATTTTCCGTGAGATCTTTGGGGAGAATACTACATGATAGTAACTGTGGCTGTGCCACATTAAAGAAAAACTGGCTCTTAAGGTCGTTTAACCAAGTATAAGCCTGATCTGTACTGAGATGTTGTGTTCTCATAGAACTGTTTTTGTCATTGTTCTCTATCTTAACAAAGGACTTTCTTTTTATTGAACAACATATCAAATAAGTATGGGAAAGAAGCAAGCAGTCTTTGATAAGAGTTTTATGAGGGAAGAAGTTGTTTTTCTGACCCTACTGACCCAGTAGCATACAAAGGCACACACAGAGGTCATCAGCCTTTGTCCACATGTCTTGTGGGGGACATGTTTTCAGCATCATCACCTCTTTTAGCAGGTGGTCTTAGATCTAACTGCACATCTTATGTATGAAGACATTCATCTGAGTTGGGTGTAAATGAGTCACAGAGGGTAATAGGGGCCATGGTATATGAGTAAAGGTCTGCATTCAGCTCAGCTTGTGAAGGTTAATTACATCAGAATTACAAAGCATTGTAGTATTGATACCATTATTCTCCTTCCAGGTCAGTTAATGCTAAACAAAGTGAGTACAGAGTCTATAAACAGAACAAAGGTAGCGTTGCAGTGTTTTCATACCTACGATTAACTTGCTTACAGGCTGTATACAAAAGCTCATTTTGTAAAGGCTTGTTAGAGCATTCATCCCCAGAAACATTATGCCCACAGTATTTGATTTAGATTTATGGCATGCACGCATAAACACATGAGCACACACACTTAACATATGTCTTATATGTTATGCTTACATGTATAGTTTGTTTGTCTGTTTAAAGAGAAGCCTGGCGTGAGTTTTGACTTGTAGACTTAAGAATGATGTGCTAAAGTAGATCCCCAAATCATTCCAGACTGTTTCAGAACGAATGCTAGGGCAGTAAAATGCAGACTTAAACTCAGGAACAGTGGCATACCTCCTGAGTGCACCAAGTCGCCTTATTACCTCATTCCATCAAAAGAAACCCGCATTCTGGCTTCAGAGTTGCGTCCATTTGGGTCCTGTGTTCAGTGCTCAAGCTTAAAGGGCGGCACTCTGAGTCATAATTTACCTTGCTCACACTCCATTGCTGTGGTGCTACTCTTTGTTTTCCAGTACTGCACAAGGCCTCCTTTGGCCCTCATTTCTTAATGAGAGTAACTGATTATGTCAGTGGAATGCTGTTTTTTTTTCTGATTTTTCCACCCAGGGCATTGCAGACAAGTTGGTCCTTTTAGACCTCTCAGAAGGGACCAAACAAGGGACAATGGACCTCGATATCTTCAATGTGCCCAACGTGGAGATCAGCAAAGGTTTGATTTTTCTGTTGGAAGATGCTTATGTTGCTTGCCCTTGCAATTTAGTCTTAGATACTTTATTTTTGTGGTGTTTGGAAGGAGGTCCTAGAACTTTTTACAATAGCATTTTCCTTGGGGGGGTTGTGAGGAGGGCTTGGCACGCTATACCATGTACCTTCACACCAGTGAAGGTCTGATGACAACTTTTTTTTTTTTTTAATTTTTAAAAATATTTTATTTAGAGCCAGGCATGGTGGTGCATGCCTTTAATCTCAGCACTTGGGAGGCAGAGGCAGGCAGATCTTTGTGAGTTTGAGG